GCATTTGGCCGTTTGAAGTGTCGATTTCGTTGTCTTCTTAAGAGAAATGATACAAGCCTGCAGAAGTTACCTGTCAAAATTGCGGCGTGTTGTGCTTTACATAATATATGTGAAATGAATGGGGAAAAGTTTAACCCAGAGTGGCTTCAGAATGATGTTAATAATAATATCAACATAATTAATGATGTTCACATCCCTGACGCAACTGCCATAAACATTCGACAAGCACTAACTAATTTCTTTAGTGCACAAAATGCGTAACATATTAACAAAAACTGATGCATGCAAACTATACCTTTACAAAGGCTGCGTTTTGCCTTTTTGGTTCATAAAAACGTTAACAGTACCAAAATTATGTAATTAATATGGTCATATGTTTGATAAACTGTTCCTCTTTTATAATTTATTATAATTTATAATATGTTTTGGTGCTGTTTTCATCTTCAAAATAAAACTGATTACTGAGAGGTTGTTGCACAGTTGGCTGCTGTCTGCTTGAAATGGCATTGGCCAGTAATGCCATCGAATCAGCATATGCCTTTAATTCTTGTTTTCGTAGCTCAGCATCAACTTTAACCTGGTTTTTCATTTCTTCCAAAATTTTTTCATCTGATTCCTTTTGGGATTTTGTAAATTCATCCATACATTTTTGAAATTCTTCTTGTTTTGACAATCTTTGCTTCTTCTTGTTACTTCGTATTGATCCTATAATATTGCGTTTTGCATTTGATGGCTTTGATCCACTGGCTTCAGAATCTTGTGCATCAAGATCTGGAGTTTCATGGCCAACAGCTTTTTCTAACTCAGACATAATTTCTGAAGCATTGTCATCATCATCATCACCATCTTCACTTGAATCATGGATATCTTCACCTATTAAGATAATAACAATATAACATTCTAACTGCCACTCTGTTATGCACTAATATATCAACCTTCCATGGCCAAGCAGTTCAATTAATTATAAAAACCTTGTATCACAATTTACAATGGGTTGTTCCAGAAAAGATCCATACTCCCCCCACGGAGGAAATTTCTGCCGTCCGGAGGGGGAGGGGAGAAACATTGTTCCTGATAATAGTAAATGTATTAGGACATCCAAAGGGGGTAGGAGGGTTAATATCCTCTGTGGGTGTGGTATGGATGTTTTCTGGAATAACCCAATGCACATAATACTTGTACCTGCTTCTTTGCAACCACAATCAGAGCACTCAAAATCATCATCATCAGAAAACACACCAATGCATCCATTATCACTGATGTGTACCCCAGATGTTCGAATCTTTGTTGCAGTACCACAGTTTATGCATTTTTTCTCTAACTTTTTCCCTTCACCATATTTTTTTATTAAATCCAATTCTAAAAATCAAAAAGCTAAATGAAATGCCTATAATTTGAATCAGTTATAGATAGTTTTAGAAAATTCTACTGTTTATATACACTGCCCAAACAATGGCCAAGCAGTGATGGCACCATGTATAGGGGGAATAGAAACGAGGGAATCGCAATTTTGAGGTGGAAAAATCAATTTTTTCTTACAAAACTAGCAAAATATTTTATAAACAACCGATATATTTCTGCAAGAAAACGATAATCATGCAGACTATGCAAAAAATATCTGTAGTTAAACACAATAATACAAAGGAAAGATTAAATTTCCACTTGCCTAGATCTGATTTATTTTCCGTTTCTTCTGAAATTGACGAAGACAAAGTATCGATGGCTGCATCAATTCCAGTGGCCTCAGGTTGGTCACCAAGAAAAACATCTAGCTGCTCAAAAAACTTCGGTTCTTTCACTCTTGCAGCCCCTGAACGAGCCAGTGCATCTTTGTACTTTTTATATGTGGTTTTCAAGTGCTTAACTTTTGTTCTACATTGTGTAAAATCGCGTTGGAACCCCAGGGTTTCCAGTTTTGCACTCATTTTCCCGTATATGTCCTCGTTTTTACGTGATGTTGCCAGCATCTTTAAAATTGATTCTTGACTCCAAATCGATATTAATGCCAATACTTCATCATCACTCCAGGTTTCTCCTCGTTTAGCCATGGTAAAGCTAGATTATTTTGCAGAACTTCGACGAACAACAAAAAAAAAATGGCGGTCGAACAATTTCGATCAAAACTCTGGAGAAAAAACGCGCGAAAAATTGCCAGGCAGCTAAGCACCAAAACTAGCTCGATCTAAATGCGCGAACCGATCCGAGACTACCTCCCGAGGTGGTCTAGTTTAATTCGACCTCGATTCGATCTCGGTTCGTTTTGGGCTGTCCACACTTGGCCCGATACGGACTGAGACCGCTTTTTGATCGATCTAAATTGCTAGTGTGAACAGCCCCTTTGTGATGCTCATTCAAGTTGTGATGAAATTTTTGTCTAGACTTGTTGACATCTAAATTTTAGTCAAAAGGTGAATAGTCTACTCAAGATATATTTGCTTGATATTTTGTGTTAAGTTTCGCACCAGATCTTGTGAATAAATTCATTTCTTGCGTTTTTTTGTAGACAAATCGCTTCATTCTGCACAAAAACGGGCTAAATAGAATATACGAAAATACCATGCTTTTGTGGCCATCCACAGCTACATTCGATATATAACTAATTATATAGGGCCTCAGTAGCTCAGCTGGTTAAAGCGCTGCATGTACTGGGATCGCAGGGCCGCAAGTTCGATTCTTGCAAGAGCGCCTCCTTTGCATTTTCCCCAAAATGCTTCTGGTTAGGTCCAATAAGCATATGAAAATGACACTCGAAATTTCCATCTACAAAACCCTTCTACACTCTATAATATATAGAATACATAACATGATAATAGAACGACCTCATACTGATTAATTCAAGCAGGTGAGAAATAAAATACATGATTAACTTAACAAACCTCGATAAAAGCTTCTTGACTCTAGATCTCTCGACAAGGGTCCCAACTCCAATCCTCTAAGCGAGGTTGAACTGATAAATGTTGGACTTGATTTATCCAAATATGTATGTCAAATATTTCGAGATAAATTTACATTTGAATGGCGACTCTGGATATTTGCATGATTGTCAAGTAGACAACAATTATGACAGTTAACATGGGTTGAAGTCGGCCGCTCCATGCCAGGCCGAATCCAAGAAACGTAGTATACAGTCAATTAGCGGCACAAGTCAGAGTGCTTGTTAATTTACTGTCGTTCATTCTTTGAAGGTTTCAGTCCAAAAGCGAAAGGGCTGCTTTTGTTTCTACAAATGGAAAGAAAAACAATTAGCTAGTATAGGTAATCATGCGATGGCGAGTACAATTAGGGATTAATTAATAGTACGAGTGATGTTTGGGCATTTTGCCAAAATTGGACGAGTCGCCGATATCACTATTAATCCTATTTGTACGTGCAATATGGCATGACTACTTAATGTTTATTATTACTATTAGCATGACAAAATTGGATAATTCTCAATGTCAACACATATTCTCCAATTAACCTGGCAAGCCAAGAGTGAAAAGTTCAGCTATATTGGTGGAATATTTTGGTAGCTGATGAAGGCTGACATTTTGCAGCCAAATACTTCTATATATTGTACACTAGATCAGTTTTTTATGGATTATGAATAAATTGAGTAGATTCAGTAACAACATAAGACGTCCAGTTCGTGTATTAGCAATATCAAATTCATATACTATTCGGCATATTGTAATTATGTAATATTATCTGTTGTTTAATACCAGTAAAGCCGGAATCCGAGGTTGAATCTATCAAACACTGAACTGTCCAAAGTACTTTCGCCGCTTTTTATTAACTTGGACAAAATCTCGATCTGGCAACCTTGGTGGTACAAACATCGTCCAAGGTGGCAAACTTGATGGTATCAGCAACCTTTGACTTGGTGGTATACAAGCATCGTTGACCGTAGCCACGATTTGATCCGTCGCTTAGCGCAGAATCCTCGATCTCTCTGCTGTTGTATCCTAGTGGTATAAACTATAGTGAAGGCAGAATAACTCGTTGGTTTCTAGAAGGGTTTCTTTTGAACTTTGTTACTCATTCAAGACATCACATATAGTGGAAACCTTAGTAATCTTCTTTAGGGGAACTGTTTAGTTGCCTCCTAATTGTAGAGCTTGATGTGGACACGAAATAATCTTTTACAACTCGTTCTTTAGCTCCTCTATATGTCGATTACGTCTGCTATAGCAGCAAGGGCCGCAAGGCTATCGAAAAGTTCATCGTTGGTAATTAATTAAGGTCTCCTCTTTTGCGCTAAGTGGTCAGATGTAGGTCACGAACATTGGGCAAGACAAAACAGCTAGAAACAGCGCAAAATATTGCCTACGATAGCAAGCTAACGCAAAAACAGCGGTTCATGCATGCAAATATACTCGCACAACAATGTAGAGTAAACTAAATCGACATATAATAAAATAAAGGAACAATTAATAAACTGACTTGTAACACTGTACTATAAAGAAATCGAAAACTACAATCTGTAATCCTTGCTCCTTGGCTTGCGTATGCTAATGTTTATCCCAACGAAAAAAGGAGTCAACTATAACTATATCACGGTTCAGTGCTTCTTATTAGAGTTTATAAGCTTTGCGTTTATACGGCAAATTAATTAACGGCAAACGCCAGGCAAAGAAAGATTTTACGGTATCAGGCAATAAAGAGTAAATGGACTTGCTGTTTGAAAACTGTAATGCATGACTATTCTTTCGACACAAGAAAGAAAATATGAAACGAAAACGTTTAACGAACATTTTGCGAAGAATGTTTGAACCTACCGTTTGCCGTTCCCGGAAACGCAAAGTTCAAACTCTCCATTTTATGTGTGTCAAGAAACTACAAAAATCTGGAAGGCTTATATCCGTCCAAATAGAAGGATTATATGGATTATGCCCGTCCAAACACTGACTGTTCCATGAAGATAACAAGACGCTTGCCTGCGTAATGCGTAATGCGTAAATGAACCATAAAATGAACGTGGTCATAATATATTCTTATATATATGACGACCAGTCAATAATAACTTATTAGTTAATGCAGCTAAATCGCTAATCCTATTTTGTCAAAAAAAGGGGCAACCAGTTGCCCCCGCACTGCCCCCGCACTGTTAGGTGCCCCCGTGGCTCCGGCGCCCCTGAGTAGGTTAGTTAAAAATCCAAATTAAACGAGGTATCTACGTATTGACATTTGCGTTGTTTTGCTTGATTTCAAGTAGAAATTAATAGCTTCGCCGAGTAAGATGTTCGAAGTTTACATAACGCGGGGCAGGCCCGAGCCGTGTAAGTCAGTATATAAATCAACGACTCACAATCGAGTACACAATAGCAGAAAAATGACCTCATCTGCCTGCATGCAGTGTTGGAACTGCATATATGCTAATATGAAAAGGATCAGTGTATTTAGAGATTAGGGCTTTTAGTATTTCTCACGCCAAATTTTCAGCCTGAGCTCCACCTTTGAATTTACTATATGAGTAAATTCTTAAACATGCACGTCTGAATTTATCAATACAATAAATGCACGGGTTGCCGAGCGGGGGTACAATTGGGCAACATGCACGTCTGAATTTATCAATACAATAAATTTATTTATTTAAAAAATATTGTCAAATGGCCCAAACTAGTTTGTGGGAGATCTAACCATGCAAGCCTATTATTATCTAGCCATGGGCACGCACCATGAAAGGGTCTGTTTATAAAATCCCAGCTAGGCAGGATGAGGCAGTTTCCAAGATCCTGACTATCATATCAACTCGTGTTCAAAAATACATGTATATATTTGATGAACTCACTCAAGAACATGTGTAAACATGACATCCTAGCTGCCTGGCAAGGTTTCCCACTTTCCCACCTGACAGAATCATATAAGCATGTCTTAATATTAATTAAAATAAGCCTTTTAAATACTGCAATATCCTACATACTAATATACTATATGTCACAAGACTTTGCAAAATAACATTTATTTTTCTACTTTCCTGGCAATATGTCAGACCAGCCCAATAATAAACACATCCAGGTTTATTTATGTTTATTGTAAACATATAATTCTAAATGTCCAACTGAATCAGCAGAAACAGGGAGGGTTTCAAAGGACTAGGCCACCTAGCTAACTAAGCTAAAAAAAGAAAGGTTATTAATTTTGCTCAGCCACACGCAAAATATTCTTTGCCCTTTCATGACCAAGAATCCTCAATGAGATATATTATTTATAAACACAATATAAAAATATGCAACGGATTCGAAAACATTCCAGCGACTATTATTCGTAAAGAGACTTCGGTTCTTGTCGTAAAAATCGTCGGAATTACTCTTCCCCCAAAAATGTCGCTTTAACCCATGTAGTTCACGTATAAATATCGTTGAACAGACCTTTTTAAGTGCACATATTTGCACAACGCCGACCTCGAACGCTTCAGCAATGCGCTTTAGCCATATTTAATTTATTACCTTTGTGTTAAATTTATGCATTATTAATACCAATTTATGCCCCCCAAATTTTGGGGGGCTGTAATGTGATTGGTCAATCAGAACAATGCCGAAGCTCATTGACCCAGCCGTTAAGTGGGCGAGTGGCGAGAACACAACGGCTGGAATCTGAGCCTAGACTTTACCTCCAGACACGCGTCTCTGGAGGTAAAGTCTCGCAAATTTTGGCTTCATTCGCGATTCCCTCGCGAGATCGCGGTGGGGGGTGAAGCATGCTGTTTGTAGTCAGAAGAACAACAATGTGCGAGCAGAGCGAATTTGCAAGAAATTTGTTGTATATTTTATGGTTTTAAATTTTAGTTTTTTTTGTTTGGACTATAATGGAATTAATTTTAACTCAACCAAGTAAAATTTAGCCGAATGGAGTTGCCAATCGGCTAGGAAACAAACGCTATAAACGAAACAACTTGGCGATGTGCAAATCCGCCAAATTATTTGTACGAGCGTCAGACCCTTTGAAGATTTTATCAAAACAAGTGAGTAAATTCTTTATTTTAACTTAGTATTACAAACCTAATAATTATTAAACAAAGTAATTTTATTAAACAAGTGTCGATCACTTTGTTTCCCTTCATTTACGATCTCTTTGACGTATTTCTTTCCAAAGCTGAACAGCCGCAACGTAAAATATTTGTCCGCGACACGTTTCATTAAATTTGTTCTGTGGTCGTCAACTAGAATTTCGTTGTCATCATCTTCATGGTCTGTGAACAGCTCAGATGTTGAGTCCAATGTGAAATGTTGGAAGACGTTCACGATCATTTTTTTCTTTAGGTTTCCCTCGTTGCTTATTTGTTTGCCGTCTTTACCCGTAACAGTAGCTTTGAAAACGTGCTCGCAGTATTCGACCGTTCGAAACACAGATGTTGATGGGATCTGCAAACCACCCCTATTGACAAATGTGGTAAATGACGATGCCTTTCCTGCTTCATGATATATGGTTGAAGTATAGTCATGTCCGTTTGCAGGCAATTGTTTTGGCAGAGGAAGAAGGCTCTTTTTGCATGCTGGACAAACTAGGGTTTTCACAAGTTTGGAAACAATGTACCCTGCGATGTAAAACAGAACATTCGAGGTAAATTCACTATGCCCTTCTTCGTTTAAATGTTCACACATAGAAAATATGTCACTTGAGTCATTGTTGGAGGCAGAGGCTTCCACGATATTTTCGTTGGTGGTTGACTTTTTGTGCTTTCTTGTATGGAATATGGGGATAATGTTATTACATCCTGTAAAATCCACACAGTTGGCATATTTCGATGCTGTAATGGCATTTCGCATCAACATCTTTCGAATTGCATACTTGAACTGTAAAACGTTAGGGTTGTTATTCCAGCCTCCTCTTGAGCGTATGCATGAAAAAAGAAGTTCGATGTGGTCCTGTGAGAATTTGTAAGTTAATAAGTACTTGAAAGGATTGGTGGGTAAACTAAACATTTGTGTAGCCATGGAAATTGTAGATTTGATACATGCCACAAACCCAATTACAAATGTTTTACGTTGCGAGGTGGAAAGTAGTTGACCTGTAGGTGCACTTGTTTTCAACGACAGTAGATAGTCTGCTGTTGACATTAAGATTTCTTCCCATGTGTCCTTGGTTTTCGGATGAAGGGGTGTCTTGAAACCTTTAGCGATTGGGTTACGAGAATTCAGCATGTCAAATAACCGGTCGATTGTGCGGATAAATATAACTGTACCATGACTATCGTGAAAACTGGACAACTTCATTGATTTGTCCAGGAATTCTACAGCATTAGCCACTGAAGAACTTAATGTTTGTGCTGCTAGTCTAACATTCATTTTGTGTTTTTGAAATTTCAGGTGATTTGGGGAAAGTTTGTTACCCAGATTCAGTCCTTCCACTTCTTGTAACTTTTGAAGTTCCTCAATGTGGTGCCACCTTATCACATTTCCCTCACCATCAACAATGGTCCCGAGGTGTGCCAAAGCATTACGAGCAAGTTTAAGCATGTGGCAGGGGTCAAGAATGATAAAAACATCTTCACCAGTAGTTGGATGTATAATTGAAGTGGTCATCTCATCGTAACTGCCATTAAAACTACAACCGAGAATTTCAAATGTTCTAAGGTTGACTGCTGTGCCATCCGCTGTCACCGACCATACCTTTAGTCCAGCCTTTGCTGCCATTTCCAATGATTTCGATACTAATTTTGCCTGGTCTTTGGCGCTGATTTTATCTCCTAAAAAGTATCCGATGGGACATTTCCAATGACTTCTTGTTCCGACCAACAGAAAAACTAATGCCTCAGAAGCCAGTGTTGCTGACTTATCATTATGAATTTCATCACCAAGATCAACAAATCCTGAGTACCGATCTTTTTCAGCATCCCAGAGTGTCTGCTTACGAATGGACATTGCATCGATTACCAAACAGCAGTCCTTGTTAATTGGTGAACCAGAGATTAAATCAGACAGGGATGTGAATGCTTCTTCTATGAAGCCTGGGTCACATTTAAACGAAGTTGACCATTTTCGTATCAAAGATTGGTTTGGCAATGGGATAATGGATCTAACATATTTGTATGCTTTCGGTGAGTAAAAGTATAAAGTCACAGCAAACTCTTTTATTTCATCCGAATATCTCCTTCCTGATGGTGATGCCTTTAAGTTTTTGAAATTATATAGAAATTGAAGATGTTTATTTTCAAATGTTGATTGCAGACTTTCTGCTTCTTTTGAAGTTATCAGTGATCTTTCTTCCAACACTTTGATGGCTTCGTTCATAGTTTTGACTTTCTGTTTTGACCTTCGTAATTGCTGTTGTAAGTTGCGAATTTTTTGTCTAAGTTTTGTTTGTAACTCATCTCTTTTTTCTTCTGTAGATGCAGTTTTGGCGATTTTTTCTGGAGGCGAGAGGTTTTCCAAATCAGTTGGGGGGATTGGTCTCTTGTTCGACAGGTCCAGCCTGCATCTTGTTTTGTTGGGTATCGTATACAACATGGTTGCCGTGTCATGGGACTTTGATGGTATGACATACTTTTTTAGTCGACATGACCCATTCACTGAAGGAGGGGTGATGTAATCTGTTACTTGGAAGTGGTCGCTACAAAGACGGCTAGTACTGGTTGCCCTCCATGGTTCTTTAAGTATATTGGGCCTATTGGCTTCTTGAACAAAATGCTCCCACTGCTCTAAAGCATGCTTATCTTTCATTGGAAATCTATAATAGTTTACAACATACATATATTGTGAGCAGCCAATTTGGCTTTATTGGTACTGAAAAGATGACTCTTGTCTTACATGGTTTGTGCTGTGGTTTTCAACATGTAAGGGTTACACTTAAGCCCCGCACAGACAAGTAATTTTTCCTTAACACATTAGATTTGCTTGTGTGTATGTGAAAAAAATGACAAGTTTTCCTTGACAAGGAGCCTGGTTCAAAATGTGGTCATGCCAAATTTTGAACCAGGAAATCTTGTCAAGAAAAAATTGCTTGTCTGTGCGGGCAAAGATGCAACAATATAAGACCCTGATGCTTGTGATGTTACTCTGAGTGTATATCCACACTGGTCAAGCTTGAAAAATATGCCTGGCCATGGTGGGAAAGAACCTACGACCTTTGGAATACTAGCCCAGGCATATTTTTTCAAGCTTGGCCAGTGTGGATATACACTCAGATTAACATCACAAGCATCATATTCACCTGAGTACATTACACCGCACACAAAAAAATTTAATATAGACCCTGTTGTCATTGTAAAAGCAATGATAGCCAAAAATGGTGATAAAGTAGTATGTAGAAATATATGCTTGATTTCAGTACAAGAAGTGTAATTTTAATCTGTTTTATTAAATATTAAGATATCCTTTCCATGTGTTGTTTTTTTATCTTGTTAAAGTAAGGAAGTAATTGTCATTACCTGTGAAAAGCTACAGTAGCATTTTGTCCATGATGAGGAATACCCCTGTTTGTACACCCAAGTATAACACAGTTAAGTGGCATGATTTTTACTCACTAACACTGTCACAAAAATATCAATTTTTCCTTTAATTTCGCAGTTTTTTTCTTCCCTTTAAATATTTTTTACTAAACAACTACAGTAAATATGCGCAATAAATTAAAAAAGGACTGGGTAGAGGAGAAACTTCAATGTTTTGAGCACTCCTAAAAGCTAAAATTTCATCACAAAATACACTTGATACTGACACTATTTTATATTATAAGTTTATGTTTGCTTCATTCCCATTCCTAAGTGACTAGATTGCACAAAAAATGCATCAATTATAGAAAAAAACATCTCCCAGCATGGTAAATGAAAACTTCACGCCTGGGCGCAATGTTTTTTCCTAACAAAGAACCGGTTTGTTCAGCATTTCCATACAAAGTATTCAAAAAATGCAGTCTATTAATCAACAATGTTTAAACTAGCCGAAGGTAGTGACAAAATTAGTTCTTATCTCCCTAAAACGAATTTTTTTTGAGTTTCGACCCGATCAGACGAAATCGCATAAAAATATTTTGTTTGGCCGTGTTTGTTTTTACGTGGAAAGACTGGGGGTGACTTGCATAATTGAGCATCAAGCTTCCGGTTGAAGGTAGCGTTCCAGCATAGACAATCCAGAAGACAGGGACTGGAAACGCAAGCTAGAATATGATGACAAATCGTGACATCCGTGATGTGCCTGTCACGTAGCAATTACTTGGTTACCACGGTAACAAGTCTTTAAATTTACATAAAAACAAAGGCAAATGCGTGTAGTTTATGCAAAATATATCGTAAAAAAAGTGTATTATCTGAATTTTGGGATCGTAGTCGTGGAGCGGCTATACTAACAAAGGTAGATACATCCAAATTTTCATTTATTTCTATTTTATAGTGATGCTAAATGTAAAATTTGGATCGTGCTATCAGTAAATCGCGCACGCAGCAATTATTTCCAGAAAATACTGCCAAAACTAACCCTGTAACTACAAACTTAACCTGTTTTGTCTTTGACGATGAAGCCATTTGAAATCACAAGATTTTAATCTATCGAATAGGCTATTTTTTATATCAATTTGGCATCAAATTCAGCCAAAAATGTTTACTAAATTTGATTGACAGAATTACGAATGTTGTTAGCCGGCAATTGTTATCGTCATATTATTTTGAAAACTTGCTGGCAAAACTAACCCTGCAACTGAAAAATAAACTATTTTTGTACCTTTTGGTCAAAGTATGTGTAATCATAAGATTGTAATCTATCGAATAGGCTATTTTTTATATCAATTTGGCATCAAATTCAGCCAAAAATGTTTACTAAATTTGATTGACAGAATTACGAATGTTGTTAGCCGGCAATTGTTATCGTCATATTATTCTGAAAACTTGCTGGCAAAACTAACCCTGCAACTGAAAAATAAACTATTTTTGTACCTTTTGGTCAAAGTATGTGTAATCATAAGATTGTAATCTATCGAATAGGCTATTTTTTATATCAATTTGGCAACTTATTCGCCCAAAAATGTTTACTGAATTTGACTGACAGAATTACGAATGTCGTTAGCCGGCAATTGTTATTGTTATGTTATTCTGAAACTTGCTGGCAAAACTAACCCTGCAACTGAAAAATAGACTATTTTTTTACCCTTTGGTCAAAGTATGTGTAATCATAAGATTGTAATCTATCGAATAGGCTATTTTTTATATCAATTTGGTAACTCGCCCAAAAATGTTTACTGAATTTGATTGATAGAATTACGAATGTCATTAGCCGGCAATTGTTATAGTCATATTACTCTGAAAACTTGCTCGCAAAACTAACCCTGCAACTGAAAAATAAACTATTTTTGTACCTTTTGGTCAAAGTATATGTGTAATCACAAGATTGCAATCTATCGAATAGGCTATTTTTTATATCAATTTGGTAACTTAATATTCGCCCAAAAATGTTTACTGAAAATTTGACGGCCAAAATTACTTTTGCGCCAACTAGAAGATGGCCATTTCTGTTGCCCCCACTTCGAACCCTGTAACTATAGTTTAATTAATTAAAGTTCAGAGTTTGTAATTTACATATTTTGAACAAAAATAGACCTGTGGATGCACTTGTCCCGTTTTGAAACTTATATCGGGTCAAACAAAGCCAAAAACGTCCTTTGAATGCTTGCGTAATGTTTTTCACTGTAAAAAAGTCGCCATTGCCATTTGTTGTTGTCCTGCAAAGTTTGTACCGGCTAACTTCGAACCCTGCAACTACAGTTTAAATAAAGTTCAGGGTTTGCAATTTACATATTTAAAACAAATATAGACATGTGGATGCATTTCTCCGGTTTTTAAACTTATATTGGGTCAAACAAAAGCAAAAACCACCTTTTAATGATTGCGTATAATGTTTTTGACAGCAAAAAAGTCGTCATTGCTATTGGCATTCTTGTTGGCATTGTCGAAAGTTAAGAGTGTTAAACATACAAAACTCACCGTTAAAATAACTGAAACCTTGTTTTTATTTATTTTAAATAATGGATGCCTTAGCAAAAAGGGTTTTCGAGAAAGAAAGGATTTGTTGTCAATATTAAAAAATGGAAGGTATATTAATTTAAAAACCGAAATTGCCAAATTCAAATTTTAAAATGTAGATCACGGAAAACTTCGAAAAGATAACTTCAATCAATTTATATAACGTAATTACAGTGAAGCAAAATTGAATAAATATACGTAAACTTAAATAGAGTAAACTAAAATATGCAAACAAACCTGAATCGTGCCTGAAAGTCCACCACAAATTGGAAATCAAAATTTTGAACAAGCTCGAAAATTCTCTGCACTCGTCTCTGAATATTAGCAGATCCGTTTTATAAACTTTACACACAATGTGATATACTTAACACCCTTTTCGGTGTAGATTATTTAAACAATTTTCCAGTATATAAAGAGCTGTAAAACAGCAGACAAGTACCGGTCCACAATCTATCGCTTTATTCTTTTTCGAAGCAACGGGCGCCATTCAGTAATTTACTCACATGGCATGATTGGCACAAGCGTCACGCAAGCACATCACGGATGGCACGCGCAAAACATTAGGCGTTTCCAGTCCCTGTCTTCTGGATTGTCTATGGTTCCAGTCATAGATATAGGAGACCTAGATTGCTGACTCTAATGTTTTCTATAATGCACGCGCGTGACACTCATGAGCATTCAAAATGGCGGCTCAACCGGGCAAAAATCATAGAGCGAGATAGGGAAAAACCATGTTTTTCGCATTTTGCGTCGTCCTACAGCTTCCGATCCCGTTCTATCACTTTATTTTGGAAAGAATTAACTGGTGTGAAGGTTTTGGATGAATATTTGTGCAATTTAAGTTTAATAAAGACGAAATAATCGATCGCTAAATGTTTTCTGAAATCGTCAGTAATGGTCGGTTGAGCAGTTCGAGACATTTTGTTGCAGAAAATAAAGGTTTTGGTTCTTTGGGTGCTTTTTTTCTCGAGGATCTCGGTTGGGATATTTAACAAGGAATAATTCTGTGAAGTATTTTGAAGTTAAAGCCTATTTTACTTGATTTACTTGGTCTGCTGGTGCGAAAATTCTGATGCTCTGTTTAGTGTGACTTTGACAACCTCCTTGCTGCTGCAGATGTCAAGGGATCTCAAGTCTATAGGGCCTGGACAGTGAAAAGTGATGAATCAATCAGGTTTGTAGAGAGAACTAGTGACAACGAAAGTTTTCAATGGAAACTAGTTTGAAGAAACTGCCTTAATGTGTCTGGTATGCATCAAAAACCTTCACAGTTAGTATCTAGTTCTCTCCAAGAAACCTGATTGAATCATCATTGATAATCAAAAATAGATGGGACGGCATCTTCGTTTAGATATTTCTTGGATTGGCATTTTATTGATTGCTCTCTGCAGTCGGCATTCTTCCCTTCGGACACTCTCCCCTTGAGACAGCTGACCCAAGCATCAGCACTCTCCCCTTACGAGTAGAATTGTCTGGCGTAGCCAGAGTAAAATAATTAAGTAGGGCACAAAACGGCTCAATGGGTTAACTATAAACATTTGCAGGTAGGCCAGTTAACCCATTAAGTGCCACTGCTCTCCTCTTGATGAGTAAAATTGTCTGGCGTTAGACAGAGTAAAATAATAAAGTAGGGCACCTTGCAACACCATGGATTAATATAATCATCGGGTGTGAAGTATAATCATCCGGTGTGAAGTGTTTCTCACACAAGAATGAATATTTGATTGGCATTGAGTCTGCCCATTTCATTTTTTAGCAGGCTGGGATTGGTTATAGGAAATCCAATAGTGCAAAGGGAAAGATGTATTTTTGGTTCACTGATGTGAACAAAACTAAAACATTTTTGACTTTGAACAGGACAAGGAAAAAAGTTGTTGTCAACATGCATATATAGAGAGAGACTCCTAACACAGACATCAAAACAAGAAGTTCTTTTTTGGTCTAATATTCTTTTATTAAAACTGTAAATAGTTTTATATTGTAGCTGCCAAACTCAAAACTACATTTGTTGTGACGTTGTCATTACAGTATTTACAAAACAAATTCTTTTTATTCTATTATTATTCTGTTTATATGATGTAAGTTATAGACTTATAGTGTACAAATATGTGATGTGTATGTGTTTCATAGACTTACTTATGGAAGGAAAATCGAATAACATCCCACGTCTGTCTTGTAGTAATACACTGAACACGATTCTGGCCGACTTTCAAGCATTCTTTTCGATAAAAAAAAACCCAGATGGAATAGAAGCCCTAGAATTTTCAGATGAAAATACTGTATTTTGGTCGAAATAACAATGAA